TGATCTCTTCGGAAGAGGCGCTTCATACAATTATGATAGAACTTCACTTACAGGTAAGTTCGTTTAATCATTTAATTATTTCGTGCCTCCCGCGTATGTGACGAAATGAAATCAACCCACGAATAGCCGCACCGTCAGAAATTAGCTTCTTCGGGATAATTCTATTTGTATCTTCCTCGCTTCCTTTTGTGATCGAATTTTCAGAAGCTTAGAACGCTAGAAGACTGTCAAAAAATTGAAATTGATTTGAGTATTGGATTACGCTTCTAAAATCTCCTTTAAATCGCTTTAAAATCCGCCTCTTCTACGATCATGCGTGAGAGGTTTCTCGACCAGGTGCTTTTAAAATCACGAGTCGCACATTCGTTATTTTAATCCGAAGGGATCCAGCGTCCGCGCAAGTTAACGTCACGTACTCGCTATCGATAACGTCGGGCGCTAATTAAGGACCGTCGACCGCCAAATTATCTTGGGGGCGAGGGAAGAGAACTCTCTCTCTCTCTCTCTCGCGCCTCTCCGCTCTACTTGCCGAAACTATGCGACGAAATTTATCAACGCGGCATCTCCGACAAGAGAAGCTTCTTTGTTACCTCCTCGCCTGAGAAACCCGTTCTCCATCCACCACCGCGTCCACCCTCCTATCCCTTCTCCCTCCCTCTCTCTCTCTCTCTCTCTCTCTCTCTCTCTCCACTTTTGTACATGTATATGAGCATTTATATACATATATATCGCCGCGTATATACGCGCGACAGACCTCTTTGGGCATTACTCACGTTACGCTGTGCTATCTGGTTCCCTCTCTCTTGTACCCGCGCGGTTCCTCAATTATTCTCAAACAACCGCCCGCGTTCAGTTCTAATACCCCCGGGGCTCTCGTGTTCTCCGCCCCTGCCTCTCCTTATACATACGTATCGCACGCGGTGCAACGTGCAACGAGGCAAGTTATTATTGTCGTTCCGCAGCATTACGCTCGTCGCGACGTACCCTACCCTCTGCATCCCCTTGTCGAAAAGTCGACAACCGGGCACGAAAAGGTAACCCCCCCCTTTCGCTCCGCTTGATTGTTTTCACCGCTCGTGTATTTCATGGAGTACGCGAGCGTCGAAACACTCGAGAGACATATACCTATTCCACGCGAAACTCACACGGGAAAAAAGGATTAGCACTAATACTATAGCAAATCTAGTCGTAATATGGATAACTGACATTTTTTGCAGCGAGAGCTTTAATTTTGCAATAATAGCAAAACCTCTTGTTAAAGTTTTGCTGAACCTTTTGCTACTTAGCAATAATTGCAAAAAGATTTTGCTACTATTGCTAAATTATAGCTTTTGTTGCAAAAAACGTTAGTTATCTATATTTTACTAGATTTGCTATAATAACTAATTCCTTTTTTTTCGTGTGAAAACGTAGTTTATGCCGCCATCACGGGTCGTAACCCTCTCGTCATCGATGATGCAGAAAGATATCGCGAATTGGTCTCGACTCGTGTGGATAACGGTTAATAAGGAGAGGGATAAAAATTGAAATAAATGGCGATTATATTTGCGTTACGGGAAATTGATGGAAAAATCAACGAATGGAGAATATATTAAAAATACGCGTTTCACGCATAAGTGAATATTATATTACCAATACCGCGCGAGTCGAGAGCCGCGCGTACCTTTCTATCTCGTTCGACATTGATGGAATAATGCGATATTTCTTGCTGCGTTATTTTAATTTCGTCTCTCTTTCTCTCTCTCTCTCTCTCTCTTTCTCTCTCTGCCCTTAATTCGATATTATTTTAATTCCAGTACAAATACACTTACGCGACCACACAACAAACACGGCGTATCGCCGGGAGGATAATTAAACGTCACTCCCGAGGTCTGCCTAACGATCAATACCTAATTCCATTCATAATGATGGAGTCATGTAAGTCGAGCATCGCCAATATCGGCGGCTATCCTCGGTGCAACATCTCTCTTGCCTCGATATAGGACATTATTAACGATAATTATCGAATTAACTGTCTCTCGCTTTATTTGACAACTGTAACGAGACGGAAGAAATCCAAGACCCGTTAAATTTCGGCGTTCAGCGACTTCTCAGACCGACGACCGCGACTGGATGCGACAGCGGAGATCCGCCGCCGTTGTTAACCGACCCGTGAAACTAGCCGCGACGAGTCAAACTACAACTAATCTCAACGGTGTGTTTTGCCTGACAGAGCGTCGGTTTCTCCGTCGCGCGGATCAATCTCGGTAAACGACGACGGAGACAAGTTTAATCCGCGCGGCGACGCGACACATATCGAATCAGCCCGTGTACGGTTGAGTCGTTTTGCGAGAGCTGTTTCTCGCGATTTTGAATCGAATTAAGCTAAGACTTCCCAGGAATGTAGGTGACGACGTCCAGGATGAAAACAGGAAGCTACGGGAGTAGCAGCAGCAACGGGAGACCGTCCGGATAAACTCGTTAATCGTATACACACTCACAATCACCTGTTTCTCTCTCTTTTTTTGTGCAGTTCCGCCCACGATAGCTCCCTTTAGCTTTAAGAAGGACCTGTCGGAGGGTCTGCGGGCCCAGGTGACCTGCATGGTCGAGAAGGGCGATCCGCCGTTCACGATCATCTGGTCGAAGGACGGCGAGCAGATATCCGCCTCCGGCACGGCGGCCGCCGCCGCCGCAACCATTAACGATCTCCGACAGCACTCGCATACACCACCTGGGCTGCGCGTAACCAACATTGACGCCCATTCCAGCGCCATAGTTATCGAGCGCGTCACCGCCGCGCACACCGGCAACTATACTTGCCTGGCGCGCAATTCGGTGGCCGAGGTCCTCTGGACGGCCGAGTTGATCGTTCGTGGTAAAGTACAGTGACTTGCACTGCGCGGAAAAACTGCACCGAGTCTATGTTTTTTCTTTTCTTCTCTTTCTCTCTCACGTCACTGTTTTGCACCTGGCAGCACACCATTGTCTTTGCGACAATACAGCCGGCGACGGGTGAATGAATTTGGAGGGCTTAGGAAAGTAACCGAATCTATAAAATCTTAGACATTTTAAATAAAGTATACGATAATATATTTCTGTAAGTTTCTTGTTACGCGCTGTTCACGCGCAGCGATAGTATTTTTACCGTAGAAAGATACTTAAGACTTTTTATTCCACGATGATCAGCGATGTCTGACCATATAGTGTTTTTATCTACTACCGATTGAACGGCCGGGCTATGCAGCTTGCATTCGCGCGATTCGGATAAATTGCCGCGATAAGAGGTGAGATTAATTTTCTGGCCACACGGAATTTACGAGACAAAAGCCAGCAAGTTCGCGAGATTTAAATGCCGAGTCCTCCGATTCTATTCACCCGCGGCTGGCCGTATCGTCGTCACGTAAGCGCAGCCGCAGCCGCCGCAGCAGCAGCAGCAGCCGCCATCGCAGCGCGTCGGTCGAAAAATAGCATGAAGTAAGAGTTACGCGCTAGGGCTGTTCTCGGATTTCGCAGAGACAAACCGGATATTCGGGTATCGCGACGAGGGCATCGGCGGATATATCGAGCCCGCGCTCCTGTTCGGAATTGACGTGCGCGCACGCGAGCTTTAGCCCGTCCCGCGAAGTAATATATTCGTAATTTACGAAGTAATATCCGTCCCGCAAATTACGATATGTTAAACGCGGAGCTATCGCACGTTACGTTATTATAAGCAACGTGGAGCTGACAGTGAAAGTTACATTGAGTCCTCTCCCGGGAGCTTGCATTTCACCAATACCGTTTGCTCGCGACGTTATTGTAATCGCGATGTAATTAATCGCTTTTGTATGGTATAATTAACTGGTTCTCACGATTGTCTTAGATAGAGGGAAGTGCGTGGGAGAAACGTCTAATTTGATAGGTTTTAAATGGAAAAATCGTCCGAATGAAAGTTGCTGAAATAATTAGTAAATTATAATGGATGAAACAAGAGTAAAGGTGTTTTAGTTCAATTACGTTGATAATTATATATTAATTATTATTTAATTTTATTAATAAATACTTAAATTTTCTAGACTACAACAACGTAAAACTTCATGATATAACTTCATGGATATTTAGTTTACTCTACATTTAATGAATATTTAAATTTTCTATACTATAACAAATTTAGAACGTTATGCAAATTTTAGTCTACCTAAAATATCTTACCATTTATTTTCCCGTATGACTTTTCTGCCGCTTAAAGCCACTCGACCGGCACTTTCAATATCTGACAGATCTCTCCTGGGTAATACACTCTGGGTAATACTCTCGCGAATATAACCCACGTATCGCGTTTGAAAATGTTTCGAGTCGAGGTATATCCCTAATAATGTTTTTTTCAGTTCTAATATTTCGGTATTTTGCGTTGTGCGTCGTTTTTTTTCCGCAAAAAAATCAGAGAAAATATTTTTCGATGATATCCTATGCGAAATTCGTTCATTAAATTCGAGATAGTTACGTGCGGAATTTTTTTCAAAGCGTATCACGCGCGCGCGCGCGCTAGCCGGATATTCACGAGAGACGCACAGAACAATTCGCCATCCGGATAAACGACGAACAACGGCATCGTTCGGATAAACGCAGCTCTAGAGTCCTTTTTACGAGATGATACGCGCGAAATGACGAAACAGCAGCAGCAGCAGCAGCAGCCGCCGCCGCCGCCGCCGCACAGCCAGCAAAACCCGTCGCACCAACGCACTTGAGCACAGCATAATATAGCGTAATTTCACCTCACGGGTCACCCCGTAATATATTTTCTATCTAGATACATATCTAACAACACGGACGCACCGTTGAACCTGCACCTCTCACTCTCTGGCCCCTTATCGCGATAATTAAGTACTGCGATCGCATATATTCTCCGCATTAATTTCGCGAGAGTGCCCAACGCAGCGGTGCCCGACATTCTGACAATCGAGATTTCGTAGCAGCGCCGACGAACAACGATATACCTTCTTTAAATACTTTTTGATATGTCAATTAAGAGAATCATTATTATTCTAAAAGCACTAATTCTTAATGTATCGGCATTGCGTCGGGAACCGCTGAATCATGTGCGTCCGGGACGTAAACGAGATAAAAGTGAGGAGAGATGTATACGCGAGAAACGGAGAACGAAGAAATGAAATCTTGATATGAGGTCCGCGCGCTTGTCGGTATTCAACACGATCGCAGTAGCCCAGAATGAAATATGTGCTGCATGCAAGGGCCAATACGGCACTTCACGAAACTCGGCTTCGCATATATAGCACCTCTCCGTCTTGAGCCACGGCGAGCAGCAGCAGCAGCAACAGCAGCAGCAGCAGTAGCAGCAGCAGCGGCAGCAGCAGCAGCAGCAGCAGCAGCAACAATCTTGTAGTTCAATTTGGAGCACCGACTCACGTTCACTTCACCCAGCACACGCATATCTGCACTGACACGTTTTTCAGTTTATTTTTCTCTCTTATTTGGTCCCGAGCGCCACTAATCCCCTGGCACCGACTTCCCGATGTGACGCTCGCACCTCGTGTTTCGTTTCCTCCTTTCGTTCCGTTTCTTTTTTTCTTGTCTCACTTTTCTCTTTCCCCCGCTCTCACCGTCACCGAAAAATTCGTATGCCGCCTATATCCACCTCGCCTCGCATCGAGACGAATCGGTCTCGTTTGATCCGAACGTTCGCCGGAATAATCGATTCCCGATTGCGAAATCGTTGCTGAATTGAGGGGAACGGAGTATCGAGGGATCGCATTTATCGGATTTGAATTAATGAGCAATCACAGTCCGCAGTCAAAGTATTTAAATTAAGAAGAAGAAAGCGCCTCTAAGCGTCCCCCCCCCCCGACCCAGCTTTCAAACGTAATTTAAAAAATACAGCATCTCCGCGGAGACTGTTATTCTTCTCGCTAAAACAAATTGTAGCGATAAGTTTACGTCTCCATTATTGCGCGTGCTACTACTTTGTTGATTTTATTGTCCAACGCGGAGACTGCCGCGGGGTCACTCGGTGGGAAATAACAATTTTGTCCACGTATAGGTTGATTTTCGCGGCAATACGCGTATCCTTCGTCCACTCGGCCCTTCGATTATTAATCACGATTGAACGATAATATACGCTCGCGAGCGCATAAATGCGCGGCGCATTATACAAATGAATGCGCGAGTAATTCGGCGTACAAACGTTCGGCTCGGGCGGGACGCGCATTTTGCGCACCTTGTGCATATTTGTACGCAACGATTGTTCGTGCACACATTCGTGTATGGTATTAGATTCGCACAGCACCGATTTATCGTATTATCACCGTGTATCGCTCTGTTCTCTGTGGTCCATCACACGGTGTTTATCGCCGACATTATTTTACCATTTGTCTCGCCGATGGAAAAAAATCCTCTCCATCGCGCGCGCACGTTTTCAGCACCGTTTTTCCCTCCGCACTTTTCTTCCTTTATCTCCCGCCAGCCTGTTCTCCCCCTCTGCGTCTCGCTCTTCCGTCTGTTTCTTTGTCGCGAAACATCAGAGGCGAAGAAACGGACAAGAAAGGCGGATTAAGAGGAAGCAACCTGCCAATACATTTGGCGGACAATTCGTAATTTTTATCAGCGAAACTTTCGCGCCGTTTGTCCGCAATCCCGAGAGGGCTAACCCAGTCCTCTCCATCGCGCACCTTCAAATCCTATTTCTCTTTACTTTCGCGGCAGCTGAAGTAGGAAGTTGCACAGTAGGCCAATCCTCTCTCCCCGGGAGAACTTTTCGCTCTTGCCTCTCAGCGCAATAAGCTTAGATAGAGACGCGTGACGAGGTCCTGGAGAGCGTTTCCGCGCGAATTCAGCGTCCCCGATAAAACGCGACATCATCAAGATAAAAAATTTAATAGTGGCACGATAAATAGTTATAAGTTGTTAATAATTTGGTCAATCAATGGTCAAAATTTACACGTTAACTTTTCGCTAATTTGTCTCTGCTTGACAAAAATTTGATTAGCATATCGAATTATTTAAGTCTTTTAATAATTTTAAAATAAATTAAAATTGTTTCGTGATTTGAGGAATTAAATGAAATTAAGGGGTTTAATAACTTTGACAAGCCTTAAAACTGAGTCGAAATTAACGAATTTTTATTGTTGACAAAAATATGTTTTATTAGAAAATAAAAATACATGTCTTGTATAGAGTAATCTTTTAAGAACATCTTTCGAAAATTTCAATAAAAAATATTGAAAATTGAGGTCCTAGAAGCTGTTTTCCCGAAACAGTGTTTTGAAAATACTAGAAATATCTCAGAGACTAGTGAATCGATTTGCATGAAATTTTTTACAACTACTCTTAATACAACAATTTAGTCCTTCACGTAGGATTTTTTTAATTTATGGGTTAGTTTTTTTAATAAATAGAATGACTGATTTTTAGGTCAAAAATCGCATTTTTTCCTACGAAATTTCAAAATCAGCTATTACAAGGACTAGTTTTATTCATCTAGTTTAACGGAAAATTTTTGTTTTCGTTTCACATGAGAGAAGGCGGGGGTATCTCTGGTACCGCAAACGCCGTTTTTACAAGCACCATTTGGGAAAATAGCTGCCAGGACCTCAATTTTTGATATTTTCTGTTCAAATTTTTGGGAGATATTCTCAAAAGACTACTCTACAAGATACGTATTTTCATTTTTTAATAAAGCACAAGTTTACCCACAATAAAAATTCGTTAATTTCGACCTGGTTTTAGGCCTGTCGAAGGTACGTAACCCCCTAAGTGAAAAGGTACAATTTTCATTATCCGCTTGCGAATTTCGGAACGTGATCGGGTCTCCCGGGCCGCGTCGTTGTAGTAGCTGTCGCATATCGGGATCCGTGGCAATCGATTAATGATCGCGCATTGTGGGTCAGTGCCGCCACGGTGGGTGGTGGAGCCGCAGGACGCCCGTGCGTCGGAGGGAATGCCCCGATTGAGTTTGCATTGTCACGCGGACGGGTTCCCGCCGCCGTTGGTCACATGGCGGCGCGGCAGCGGCAAGAAACCCGGCAATTATCACGACATAGCCAGCCACGAGCACATGCAGGACCTGAGGATACACTCCAACGGTTCGCTGGTGTTCGGCCGGGTCCAGGAAGATCACGAGGGCTTCTACCTGTGCGAGGCTGTGAACGGTATCGGAGCCGGGCTCAGTAAAGTCGTTTATCTCACCGTTAACGGTACGTAAAACGTTTATCAGATTTTTCTCACCTCTTGCCATCCGCAAAGTTCGGAAACAGTTCTTATTAAAATCATTTTTCAAGATTATATACGCTTACTTATGTATTTAAGTATGCTTTATTTATAATTTTTTAATAACATTAGGGTTACAATCACAATTTCTATCAAGAAATGTTTCATAGAAACATAATTAAAAGAGGTAAATTGAGTGAAATCTCATCTCATAACGTTTGTTATAGTGGAAATATAAAAATTATTCGACGATCTCTTCGTAATATCTATTTTTTATGATCTAATGTACTCGTCAAAAGACAATTTAATAACACGGGATGTAATTTTTTCCAATAAACACGTCATTAAATTTCCCATTACTATCTGCAGTTACAGAAAATATTTTAGCGCTAAAGCTTCACGAGATAAAGTATCTCTCTTTCATAATTTCTCTTGAAGGGATTAGTCTTCTACTAATTGATGATTAACCCTAATTGGATTTCGCTGGAACTTTAGGTATTATCAACAGTGTAACGATTGACCCGTGTAGTCAATTTGATCCACTTTATCCTATTAAGACATTAAGAAAATATTTCTTGACGAAATAATCGCATTTTCGATTATTTTCATCAGAATTTCACAAAATGTAATCTCCTAGTTTTTTAAATCAACGATATTTTGTTATTATTTTGTCAAATTCAATTTCTTAAGTTCTTTATTCTCAATCTTTAGTTTTTAATTCAACGCTCTCAAAAGTATTATTTTTAACACGTGCCACATCAACAAATGGTTCATCATGTAGTAACTAAACCGATTAGCTTGAAAATATGAATTCACGCGAATAATATTATTTGGCATTTAAGATCCAATCCTGACCATTTAACACACGTTTTCTTAATTCCATTTTATATTATATATGGAGGGGTAAAAACCATAGTGGTGTAAGTCAAATATTTTTAAAAATTTGATTTACACCACTATGGTTTTTACCCCTCCATATATTGTCGTATCTTTATTTACTTATTGAAAACATATTTTATAATACACATATACTATACATTTATTATCCAAATTATGATTTTTATTATAATTAAATAAATAATTCAACTAAATCTCAAATAATCTTTTTTAGCTATTTATGTTAGTCTGATCATATCTATCTGTTTCTACTAGTTGTAAATCTTACCTTAAATGATCTGCAATTCGTGTTCAAAATAGATTTTATATACAATACGAAAAATATTTCAAGAACAAAAATACCTCAAAATTTATGACACACAATAAATAGGATTTTCTCTTTAAACTCTAAAAACCTGATGAATCGTTCAAAGTAAATTAAAAAATTTAACTTCATTCATAAACAGAATTTATTAGATTGTTGGAATTCGAGAGCGTTCTCAAATAATCGTGAATTTTAACTATTAACCACATCCAAATGTGTAATTATAAATAGAGTTCTATTCCGATTGATGCAGTTCCCGCGCATTTTGTGGAGAAGCATCGCAATCAGACCGCGAGGCTGGGCTCGAATGCCTCGCTGCGCTGCGAGGCGAAGGGCGACCATCCTTTGAAGATAGTTTGGAAGAAAGCAGGCTCCCAATTGGACCCTAAACTTCCCGACTATCGTTACACTCTGAAGGAGGACAACACCACCGACGGCGCCGTCAGCGTTCTCGGTTTCGTCAGCACCAGCCGCGAGGACAGCGGCAGGTACTTTTGTATCGCGTCCAACGCTTACGGCCGCGACGAGATGACGATTCATCTTTATATTCAAGGTACGAAGAAATCCGAGAAATTAGTATCTAGATTTCGACAGCTCTCGAAAGCTCTTTGGATAATCGTTAACATCGACTACAAAGGCATAGAATTAATTGATATACCCGCGGGGACGTTCAGTAATGTCGACAATAGCAAGAGAAAAAAATAATAACAATAATATAATAATAATACTGCCGTATTAATGTTTGCGTTTCATAATCGTTTGTTTTCCGTCGGAGATAGGAGATAGTCAATGGAGTCCATGAAATTATTGCGAGGCGAGTTATCGCGATGATGCCTTCGGGGCGCGTCGGTTGTTTGTGCATAACACTATTCCACTGGATGTAATTATCGTAATGTATACAGGCACTCGACAACGCACGTCCATTTAATTTAATGTACGTCCGCGCAAGTACGTAGCGAGACAGATGAGCCGGCGGGCGGCTCGCGCGCGCTGTCTCTCTCTCTCTCTCTCTCTCTCTCTCTCTCTCTCTGTATATTCTCCAAAATGAGATACGCTTCGAGTGGATGTATTGCGTCGGATAACCCGTGAAATATGCATAACGCGGGTATGTGACAATCGTGCCATAACTGAAAATTATTTCATTGGACGCGATGCGCGCGCGTTTACGCTGTGCTCCGGAATTAGACAAAAATTTCCAGCTAATTGCCGAAGCTCCAATTTCGCCCGGTGAAATGTTCTAATCGGAGACTCGGACCGACACTATTTAAAATCGCGTATTAAATGTTGAAATTGCATCTGCATTAATCGAGATTTTATTTCATTGAACATTATTGTATTAATATCTTCACTGCCATTATAAAAGCATTATAATATTTTCTCAGATGCTATTTGTCGCGACTGTGGATGATGCACATAGTTCACAGATGAAAAATTTAGTGTGAATTGTCCGTAATAAATCCGTAAATATGACACCGAAGATGATAATTAAAAATTAATGAATTAATTATTAGAAAATATGTGAAAAATAGGGTATATTAATTGAAACGCATATTTAGTAAAAGACTGAGAATTATTTAAACGTTGAAAATTTTAATATTAACTTTAAGAGAGATTCCACAAAATTATATTGATATATAGAGCCTCCAGACTTCCCACGAAATCTTCATGTGATCGAGAAAGGCAGTCGTCACATTAATCTGGGCTGGACGACCAGTCAAGACGGGAACAGTCCAATCACCCAGTATATAATCGAGTACAAAACTGAATCAGGTAAGTTTAATCCTAATAATTACAACGTAATTGAAAAAAAATCTAATATCTACGATTTAATATTATAATATTCTATATTATACTATGAATTTAATATTAGGAAAACATTAATATGAAAAGGAAGAGTTCTTAAAATTGATAAATTTATTATAAAAACTAAAAACAGGTTAATAAAATCTTATGCAGTTAAGGTTTTTTGCATGCCCTGATTCTCGATCGCGACTTATAAATAACACGAAAATTAATTTCCGGAATTTAATAACTTAAAAATCCAGAATATTAAAATCAGAGCTGATAAATGTCAGCTCGCGCGTGGATCGGTGTAACTATAGCAGCAGCGGCTTCATTTAATCGACATTCTTGATGGTTTGACCCCCGAGGACGAAATCACCGCAAGATGATCGTTCAATTTTGCAGAAGTATGGCACGACCACACGTTCCACACGACGGTACCGGGGACACGTGCTCGCGGCCACGTGAGCGGTTTGCGTCCTGCGGTCACTTACCAGTTCCGGATGTACGCGGACAACGAACTGGGTCGGAGTCAAGCGAGCGACGTAGGTATCGGGGCCAGGCCGAACATTTACAAGTCAAATTGCGTTCCGGTCGGACAATCATTTCCTCACCGACCGGTCGTTATTCTCTCCCCCTTTTCCCCTCGAGAATTAAAACAATCGGGATACCGATGTGTGACGGGAAACCGTGCCCGATCGATATTCCCGCGCGCGTAAAAAAAAAAGGGCCGTCTCATCCCCTAAGCGAATTCCTCTCTCCGTCGCCTCTCGACGAATGTGCGACCGCATGCATCGTTGGCCTGGATTCAAATTGCGCACCCCGCAATGCCCCTTCGGGCATATCGACTCCGCTCGCACCTTTCTTTTTTTTCTTCCACGGGAAAGAATTTGCTCGCGCGTTTAAGCATGCAGCCTGCGCAACATCCGCGGATGCTTTGAGATGAAATATCGGGGCGCATCCAGCCGAATTCGTTCTGTTCCCGCAGATTCGCCGCAACTGGCGCGACCCGCGTTTCACATGTTTCCTTAAACACCGACACGACGGCTGACATCCAGCTTTTATACCGCGCTCTATGTACTTTCCGAACGCGTTCTCCAAGTCTGTGTCGGTGCTTTACAAAAGAAAATTTAATTCGTCTTTATTCTATACGATCGTTCTTTTTATAATTCAAATTCGCGACGGACGAAAATTGTGGAACACAGTTGAAAAGTTCAGCGGCAATTAAGCGGGCAGGAAAAAAGGAAAACGTAATGAAAGGGGGGGGGGTGAAAGTGAACGGACTCGCCAGAGAATTCAAAGCAGGGGCTTTTCAGATTTTAGAGACGACGACTGAGGGAGAGAAACCGGGCGGTCCGCCGCGAAATCTCAAGGTAGACCCCATCAGCTCGACCGAGTTCAACGTCACCTGGGATCCGCCCGATCATGATTTATGGAACGGCGAGATACTCGGTTATCATGTCGGCTACAAGGAACACAGGTAACGATCGAAAACACTCTGACGTTGTTTTAACGACGTACCTCGACAGACAGGGGTTTGTTTCCTCATGCACTCGTACACATTGCACATATACGCGCGCGCGCGCGCACACACAGAACTCAAACCTCCTGTATTTCAGCCCACAGAGCTGATACCGTAGAATTTACGCGCCATTAATAAACGACGAGCTATCTCAGGGTCAGTTATTTATTCGCCTGGGGCAACGCTGACAAATCCTCGAAAAACTACATAGGCTTTTTTTACGGCTATATACGTTTTGTTATATCGTCTCAGGGTGTTTTTATTGTGTTTTTGCTACAAACTAGTTAAATTCGTCAATATCAATTTTTCTAGTAAGTCAATTATTGTTAGCTGGATCAATGTAAATTCGATAATGTCATATTTCTAAATTTTACTGTTTATATTTGGCCCCATTATTATTTTTCAGTCTATCATAAATATATATACAATCTGCACAGTTTTCTTCACTTATTTCTTATTTTAGAATCTACGTATTCTAGAATAATTATTTAGAATAAGTATTTAGAATAGAATTAGCTAGAATAATCATTTAAAAGAGAGATGAAGTTTCTAATTTCTTTTATATTCTTGAACTTATATATTTCGCCTAGATCTTTTTTATTGCTATTCTATTTTAAGTTTATCTTGTTACTTTCCGCCAAGTGTGTCATGTATATTATCTTTACATTTTTCACACCAGTAATCTAGTACGAAGTTTGCCCCCCCGAAAGTTTGCCCAAAGTTTGGGGGTTAAAAGGAGACACTTGACACCCTTTCGACAAACTAATTAATCACCCGAGCCAGGTGTAACGAACGCTCTCTCTCTCGAAATTCAGGTTGGGGGCGGAGCAGTACACGTATAAAACCGTGGAAAGACGGATCTCGACGGCGAGCGTCGCCCTGGGTTTGGCAAGAACGTCCATGCCCGGACGCCAGCATCACTTGACGAACCTGAAGAAGTTCACGCGTTACAGCGTTGTCGTTCAAGCGTTCAACGCCCTCGGACCCGGTCCCATGACGCAGGAAGTTGTGGCATCGACACTCGAGGACGGTAAGCGCGCGACTGCATGTGAGAAAAATGACCCACGTCGATCGAGTCGACGAGAATACCACGAAGTACATTTTTGATTGCAAACGTCACGAAACAATGACCTCTTACTTGTCTCGAATATAAAGCGATGCTAAAAATATTGTTATAATAAGTGTCAGTTTCAAATCAGTTTCAAATTGACATCGCGGCGAGATTAATTTCGTTGAATTTTGACGAAACGACACATTTATCGTCGGGTTCCGCGACACGAATCACACGACGAAAATATGCACGTCGGACGCGACCTGGAATTAACATATCTGGTGTCGCGATCGATCGGTGCGCGTTCGCGAGCAGGCGGACGAGAGAGAGCGAGGCTCTCTCGTCTAGACGTCTATTTTCGCGACTCGACGCCGAGGAGCTTCAAAAATTCATGAAGAGAATAATATTCGCGCCTTCTCGCGAGCCTATCATGAATTCCGCCATGAATACCGACCGCGTGCGCACAGGCCGCGGCTGCACGACTTCCTCGGGGGATAAATAATAAATTCAGACGCGGCAGCCGCAAATAACTTCTTTAATCCTATCCGCGCGCCGGATGGCAGACCCGACGAAACTTTCAAGTGCACTCCCGATATTTTTTCGCGAGGAGCAAACATCTCTTCTCCCCCGCGACTCGCGCGACGACGGCACCGTGTCTGCCTCTTTAAAAAACTTTTCACCTTCAAGCCGTTCTTGAAATATTCCGCGCGTATAGTCACGTCATCCTCGAATATGCACCGACGAATATCGACGTTTTAAATGCAATACGAATTTTATGAGCCGCGCCGTTCATATTTCTCAGATTATTGCAATCATAAAAATATATATTCAATCCAGCGATATCATAATTTTCACTAAAATTAACATACGGATGAACATTTATGTGGATATAATAGATCACTATTACTAGAAGTTCGTAACGTTTTAACGTCACGTTATTTCCAATTAGTATTATTTTAATATGTTAAAAGATCATAATTTATTAATTTCATAATTTATCAATCTTATATAATCTTATAATCTCATTTTCAAACAAATCACAGATGTTAAATGATAAAATTATGCGCTCATATAATTTTGATAGAAGATATTTGCGATATGAAAGACGACGGACTACTTGGCAGATCTTTTGAAGTGAAATATTGAAATATTCTAGTTCCAAGCAGTCCTCCTCAGGATGTACGTTGCACCGCGCTCTCGTCGATGTCCTTGCAAGTCTCCTGGGAATCTCCGCCCGACTCCAGCCTGAACGGGATCCTGAAGGGTTACAAGGTCATGTGGGAGAACACGGACGCGCTGACGGAGTCCGTCAAGCCGGAGATGAAGATCACCACCGCGCTGACGGTGGTGCTCCACAGCCTGGAGAAGTACACCAATTACTCGATCCAAGTCCTGGCGTACACGAGAACCGGCGACGGGGTCTCCTCGTCGCCCCTCTACTGCGTGACCGAGGAGGACCTGCCGGAGATGCCGGCCGCGGTCAAGGCGGTTGTCAGTTCGGCCACGTCCATCATCGTCTCTTGGCTGCCGCCCCTGAAGAGCAACGGCAACATCACCTCCTACAACGTGCACGTTCGCGGATTGGGACCGGAAGGCAAGTGGCACAGGAAAGCCCTGCAGCCGTATCAGACCAGCTACCACGCCGAGGACCTGCACAAGAGGACCCAGTACGAGTTCACGATCGCGGCGGTCACCTCGGTCGGCGAGGGCCCGCAAACCCCGTCCATCATGCTCTCACCTTCCAGTGAAGGTAAAGGGATTCTCTCTTATTTTAAATTGGTTTTGCGATCATTGTTCGCGCGCGAACGAAGTTTAATCTTAATCTTAAAATACTAAAAACAATGTCTACGTTCTGAATATTCTGTTTATTTTATTTATATACGTGAACCTCGATGTGTTGTTCTTGTCTACTCGATGTACTTTCGATATCCGGAAGATTGTACGAGAGCGCGATAGTAGTTCGTAACAGCGAATAGTAGTTGGTGCATCGAAAATATGCAACTTTGCTCCAGTCGTGGAATCCAGAAACTTGGAGTTCCAGGAGTTGCCTTTCAGCACACAAATTGGACTAGTTGCGAAAGTTACGTTTCGGTGCGCCGTTCACTCGTCCATCGTATAAACATCCGTTTCTCGGACCAAATGAATTGTCTACAGTCGACCAGTAACGAGATACCGAGCGCCGTACTTATTGTTTGTTAATGAACCGCGCGCTTTTTATTTTCTCCCCGGAACTCTTCGCAAACTCTCTTCCCCACGAACTCTTTAAATCTTTCCCGTCAGGGAAAACACTTTCTCTCCGAGTTTGCTCCGCACGGTTGTTGGTAAAAGCTAACTTAGATGACTGCGATTATCGCGTGTACTCGATAAGGGTTCGCTTACTCTATTACAGTTCGCGCCGCCATATATTCGTTCGGCACCACGCTTATCGTACCGTGGAAACAAGATGTGACGCTGCCCTGTCAAAGCGTGGGTAAGCCCGAGCCTTCGGTTATCTGGAAGCAATGGGGTCAGATAGTCAAGTCATCTGCGAGAGTGTCCCTCCGTCCTGATGGATCCTTGCAGATCAGTGAGCTTCATAGGGAGGATAGCGGAAATTATACTTGCTTCGTGGAGAATCGCCACGGCTCCGATCAAATAACTCATCGTTTAACCGTGCAAGGTGAGCGCATTTTTCATTTTTGTAAAATAGTCACGCGAGATTTATTGTTAGAGTAATATAATATATTATTTATTTCTACTTAATTTAACTTCTATGAAATTATAATCTCGTATTTAATTTTATTTAACTTTACTTCCATTTAATTTCTATCAAATTAATCTTGTATTATAATTTTATAAATAGAAAAATGTAATTGAATTATCTGTGAAGAAAAAATAATATAAAATGAATTTTACTTGAAAAATGAAGTGTTAATATTAGTATTAGAATGAGTATAAATAAGCTTTTTCTCAAGAGGCTTGTAACTTACAGTCAAACTGTATCACATAGAGCGATCCATAAATCAAAATTGGTCCTTTTCAGTTCCACCTGCGGCGCCGTTATTACACGCGACCAGTACCAGCAGCAATTCCATCAACGTGCAGTGGAAAAACGGTGACGACGGCGGTTCGCCGATTCGCGGCTACATCTTGCACTACAAACGCGAGTCCGGCGAGTGGGAGGAGTTCAAGGTGTCGCACAAAGTGAGCAGCTTCGTTCTGTCGCGGCTCTGGTGCGGCAACGACTACCAGATGTACCTGACGGCGTACAATCGCATCGGCATGGGCAGACCCAGCGAGATCGTCAAGGCGACGACGAAGGGCTCAAAACCGGACGACTCGCCCGGAACTGGCGACAAGTTCGTCACGGTCAACGTTTCGTGGATCACTCTGCATCTCAGCACGTGGAACGACGGAGGGTGTCCCATAACTTTCTTCGAGCTGGAGTACAGGAAGAGCGGCGAGGGCATCTGGACCCTGATCTCGAATAATATAGAGGTATTCGGAGTGCAAAGAGTATTTTATTTCGTTAGATGTATGTGCAATGAAGAAGAAAAGTTACTCGTCTTTGTTTATGAAAGCATTGTACAAATTATAAAAGTGACATGGCTTTTTCATTAGTTTATCATTAATTTTTCATCAATCGATTTTGCCCTAGCGAAAATATCGAGGTGAGTCAATATTTGTTGTAGCTTCCAATTTATAGTATCACATCTCTTTGAAATATATTAAATTTTAAATTAGGAAGAATTCTAATTAAAAAGCCTAAATTTTTACCTAAAATTTTAACTGAGAAATATAATTTTAATACAATCGTTTAATTCTGAACGTTTGTAATTCGAAAATTATTAATTCGTGCTTCGGTATTCGCTATGGAAAAATAATCTTTAAATTGGCCCAAAAAATCTAATTAAAAAAAAATGGCTTAAGAAATGAGACAATTTGCATAAATACATTATTATCAAAATCTTTATTCATACAAATTCTTTCGCGTATCGATATTTCGATAACGAAACATCATGTATTATAATATTATCATTGCTATATTGATAAATTTTTCTCAAACACGGTTTGATATTTAACATGCGATTACAAGACTGTGATGGACTATACGTGATTTGCATATTGTGCAGGTGCAAAAGACATATACTCTCAGTGAGCTACAACCGGGGACCACTTACGACATCCGCATAAGGGCCCACAACAATGCCGGCTCGTCAGTAGCCGAGTACAAGATAACGACGTTGCAGCCACACATTAGCACGACCATGTCCGCCATCGAGATCGATCATTACATTCCCCAGCACACCTCTGTGTATTCGGATCTGAAGCTCATCGTACCTTTGGTGCTAAGTTCATTCGCGGTCATCGCCGCAGCCGGAGCTGTCTTCTACTGCTTCCGCAAACGTTAGTCCGTCATATATGCATACAGTCCTCTAGAACTAGGATCATAAATAGCAAAAGAATCTTCAAACAATATAACGAATAAATAGTACACACATTATACACAAATAAATACAAAATATGAAAAAATATATTTATATATAAAAAAGTGTCAAATCAAGCTTATATACTCGTATATATACGCAACAATCTGTAATATTGGAAATAAAATTATATTGCATTAAACGAAGGAAACTTGGATGAAGTCATTTATGTAGTTCAACCAAGAAAACAAAGTTGAAATGAAAAATTGAAATTCTTATAAGAAGATTATAAATTATTGCGATTATATACGAGTACATAAGTTTTGATTTGACACTTCTTTTTCTTCTGCGTGAAAGTAATTAAACTACATTTGAGATAGAATCGATGGATAATAGCGACTTTTGCAAAAAATTGTCAATTTAGAAAATAATTAATTGCTCGATTAATTTCAAAGTTAAGGTTATTTAATTTTAGTTATATCTTAAAGTACTAATTGCAGGTCCGTTTATGGGCGACATCGGGAGCCTGCATGACGCGCAAACCGCGGCCGCCCTAGACAATAAGCAGAACATGGAGCAGCGCGAGCAGTATTACGCTACCGTGCGTAAGCCGCTACGCTCGCCGATCCACGAGATGGGCACGCTCGAGAAAATACCAGGTGAGATAAACAGACCAGCTCGCGTTGGTGAAATCGAGCTCGTTCTTTCCGTAAAAAAAAATTAACAGTGATACAAGACAAAACGCGGGGATAGGTCTCTTTTTCTCTCTCTTTCCTTCTTTCCTCTTTCTCTCCCTCTCTCTCTCTCTCTCTCTGCGGAGAAATCGAGATCGCGCGAGGGGCAAACGATTGCGGCCCGGAAGTCACTATTAACGAATCGTTATTAAACATGCTTGTAGAATATTCGGAAGATATCTACCCGTACGCCACGTTCCAGCTGGAGGAAAGCGTTCCTGCAGGAGGCGACAGCCGCTGCAATTCTGCCGCGCCACTTCAGACCTTTGTCTATCACGACCCTCGTCTCTCCACTGCCGATACCCTTCAGTTACGAGAGGTATCGTCCGTCGATCTATCGTTGTTAGAATTGCCGTCTTCTCGCCGCACGTTTCTGTCCCGCGCAATTTCCGATCGCGGAATATTCTGTCTTCTTATCTCTGATTCTTGTTTCACGATTCGCTCTCCTAACTTCTCTTTTACGACTTTTGCGACATAGAGCGAATATTTTGCGCAATTTAGGCGCGATAGCAATTCACATATAACGTCTATTTTTTTTAAGTGAAATAATCTTTAAAGAAATTCTAGTTATCTTTGAATTTTAAAAAATTTTGTAATTCTTTCTTTATCTTTATGATCTAGATTTTTTTGTAATTTATAATATTGTCAATCGAGACAAAGTATTAATTACAAAAGTTGCAATTTTATACGTGATTGAAATCATGATTCGGGGTTCTACAGCACGGAGAAAAAAATATTGTATCAACAGCATTAGTCTAAATGGAAATAATCTTGTTAATTCAATATTTCATCCTTTTGTTTCAATAAAATAAGTAATTCTTTTAATAAAAAAAGTATTGTTTCACTAATACTGTTATTGAATTAGCGAGATTATTTCCAATTAGACTAATGCTGTCAATACAACGTCATTTTTTTCTCTGTAAACGATGCAAGAAGCAGACGTTTATATTCAACGACAGACAATGACGTTAAACGTGCGGGAAGAAACGCGCGAGCATGATGATCTGTCACTGCTTTTATCATTCACTCTCATACATATTCCCGGCTTCGTTACACCTGCGATAATTGCATGCGCACATCCCGATCAGTGCACCGAGATCACCTTATCCTCGCGACGCAAATCGGAACCTTTGGCGATCCTTTGTGCGAATACTCACTCGCACTCGCATGCACGATGTGCGTTTTTCGAGTTTCTTGCCTCGTGCGCGATCAGTACGGACACAGACGTTATTACGAATTTTAATTCGCGCGCGAACCTTCTTGGTCTTTTCTATCAGTTCGGAAAACCGCGGACTTCTCTAATCTTCTTTTTTTTTTCAATGGGCGAAATCGTGACGCTAATATTTACGAGTTACATCATTGCGACTGCTGGTCCCAGTGCTGGTCGTTTCGCTTCGTTTCGCAACTGTCCTGTGGCGGCTCGCGAGAATCGAGGAGTTATAAAGTATTGATTGGAGCAGACTTAGATCTATACCGAACGCTGTTCGTCATTTTACACATTTGCATCTATCGCCGAGTCTCGTCTAGTTTTATTAGCTGTAGCATAAAACTCTCTCATTATTCATCGCTCCCGCGATTCCTAGTTCGGCAAAGTAGAATAGAGTTTCTGTAGAAGATGGTGACAAAATTTGTTGCTCTTTCCCTTCACTACTAGTAGAGAAAAAAAAAATATATATATATATATCTCTATTACTTCGAAATGATTAAAAAATATAAAGTAATAGAAAAAATATTACTTTGTTTATCTTTTATTATTAATAAATGAAATGTATCTTTAATATCTCGATATGGCGTTTTTCAATTTAATAATGAATAATATTTTAGTATAATATTTTCTGTAAAAAGTTTATTACAACGAATAACAAGAGAAACTTTTTGTTATAAAATTAAATGTGCACAAATATGATTGATATTTGAATTTAATGGACATTTATTTTTGCAAGAAAACATATTTGATTCTTTTTAATTCTCAACTGCCCGAGGGTTGTCCGCTTGACTAAGCGAACATCTTTCGCTCTCTATATAGATTCCCGCGACACGCTCCTTGAATACGAGCAACAATCCCGACGAGATAAATTAATTATCGATCCGGTTAGGCGGAAGCTCGCGTACTCACGAGATCCTCGACGATTCTGCTCTAATCTTGAAATCGCTCCTCGTGCGATCCGGTCGAGAGAGACCGCCGATCGGGATCGGGGGGGGGGGGGGGGGGCGGCGCGATACGGCGCGATACGCGGTGTGCCATCTCATGGAAAAAACCAATTCCGTCTGATTGCAGTCGGATTGCAACCGGTACACTAAGGTGCGCGGAGGCCGTTCGTCCTCTGCGCCGTTGCACAAAGCGCACAAGGTCAGTCAGGGCAAGTCCGAGTCGGAGGAGTACGACACCCTGGGCTCGGACAGCGACACGGAAGTCGGGACCAGCAGCCGAACCGAGTCTTCCAATCACCTCGTCGATTCGCACCACTCGGCATCTGCGGCCGACTCGCGCGTCCACAGTATGCAATATTTTCACCTCTTTCTCTCTCTCTTTCTTTTTCTCTTTTTCTGTGTCTCTCTCTGTCTCTGTCTCTCTCTCTAGTCTTTCTTCCTCAGGAGTGTAGCAGTAGGATAGAAGGCAGCTTTTTGGACTAGAAACGAAGGCTCCGGTTTTTTTTTCATCCTTTTTTTCGACGCGGTCTCGCTGAAGATTCAGTCCTTTCAATTTTTGCTTTCGTACCCGAAAATTCTACGCCACGCTTCGATTTCCGTTTCGGAGAGGCTCGCGTTTTCCACTGCTTCTATAGCTGCGAGCACTTTTGTCCTACCGTCGGTTTGTTTGTTTTTCCACAGACATAATTTTGTTCGATGCACGTATATACGTGTATGCGATACATGCACGCTTTCCTTGGTTGCAGTCTTGTCTGCACGAACCGCCTGTTATGCATCGCGCAATGTAGATCCACGACGAAGTGCCTGCCGCGTGAGATCGCAAAAGCACTTGCGATTATATACTCATTTACATTCAGCGAATTAGGAATAAGAGACAAAGGGGAAATGTTTGCTTGCAGACTTCCTGTACCATGGACCAGAATCTAGCACGTCTACAGAACCCTCACCGATTTTTGAGAGAAAATCGTTTCCTGGAAGGGGAAGACCCAAGTAAGCCTATCGCCGGTTGATTATTTAATTTCGTCAATTTCTCCCACGATACTTTCGGATCTCTAAGCTAATCGTTCGTTTTTTATATTTAACACATTATTGACTATCAAAATTCGACGTTAGATCTAAATTTAAAATACATAACACTTAAACTAATTATTGATTACCCAAATTACTTAAAAGCCGATAGTTAAATATATATTATCTGAACACATTTCCCAATCAATTTAGAGAAAAGGCTGTTTTACTAGATCAAGACTAGATCTTTGTTGCCTATAAATAATAATATTGATAATGTAAGGACGTCAACTCGACGGGATGTCAGGATAATAGAATACAGTTCAGATAATAGAAAGTTTATTTAACTTCGTTACACACGATTCGATACGGTAGGCACCGCAGCGCGCAACCGGAGACGGTCCACCTCTATTTTTCGCGCCTCACGATTATCTGCCCGCGTATTACAATCGGAGCAACGAGCTCCGTGTTCGGCTCTGATCACGCGTGTCCGGCGTGATGTCTTCTCCCCACATTTTCTCAGGTCTGCCAGCTACGGTGCCAACGTGACTAATTTAACGGGTTTCTTACAATAATATAATTTAATTATGTGATAGTATTGTTCTATAACTTTTGGTTGAGACTACGTTTCAAGTAACGCCCGAAAGTAACGGCGCGTGGTTTGCTGAGGTGATAAATTACATAAATTCACGCAAATAATATTATTAGGCAATCAAGATCCAATTTTGACTGTAAAACGGCTTTTTCTCTAAATTGATTGTATTATCATATTGGTATTATCATGTTTAACATTTCCTAAATTCTAAACTTAATGTGTCCTATAGCTTGCAAGGTAATGAGATAAAGGAAGATCCGTTTGCATTCCAGGATGTTACAGCTGGCGCGTCATACCAGCGAGGAGGCCCGTGCCCACTTCGGGCCAATCTCCGGGCCTGGCCATCCCAAGCACCAGTCGGGCAATCCCTGTGCCAATCGGGACCAGGAGCGTGACGGATCAGGAAACCTGTTCGTCCCCAAGCTGGACCCACCCTCGGGGTTCTCCGACGCGTTTGAGCTAAGCGAGGCCGAGTGCGACTTCGATCGCGGTCACAACAGTCAACGAAACGTCCGTGACTTCGTAATCGCGGTGTAAATAGCGTGTAAAAGCCTCCGACGCGTACGCGGGAACCCCTTGCCGTAAGGTAAAAGAGAAGAGAGGAGAGTTAAAAAAAAAAGTAAATAGCGAGAGAATAAAGAGGAGAGTATAAAAGTAAGGGAAAAAAAATTGCGCGAGAATTTATGTAAGCCGCGGTCCGTCGTTTCGTTAATGCGAATTGGCGCCTCGCGTCCGATCGCCAGCCACTCAAGTGATATTATATAATTCCACGTACTCTCTCCTTCGTCTTACGCCCCGGCCTACGTCGACGAGAACGCGTCCGTCAGCTCGACCACCGTGCTCCGTAAACTGCCACCCGCCGTTTCCCGGCGAGATCGGTCCGACACGTCAAGATTATTTCTCGGCTTAACTATATTAGGGCTTAAAACGATTTAGGCGAACGATCGCGAACGCGCCGCGATTGATCGTATAAACAAAGTTAAGTTTAACGAGAGACAGAGAATCTATGAATCAGAGAATAAGCTGCCGTTTATTGGTTCCTCTCCGGATGGAACCGCCAAGTTTTACGCATCGCGTCGCTCGGGCGTGCTCGTGCGAGCGCTCGAGCGGAGCGGGTCGAGCTCTACGTTGTTGTCTGTTCTATATTCGTGGCGGAAAAAAAAGCAAGTGGAACGCCGGACGAGCGTTTCGACGACGACCATCCGTATAAACTGCCACGTTTTATTCCACACGCTCCGTGTAATAATCCTAATTAGTTAAATTGGCGGTGCTATACGCGCGATCCGCATCCACCTCGGATTTCTTCTTTCCACGCGACGATCTCTGTACGCGGGTATATCTGCCTCCGAAAGCACGTGAACCGCACGTACGCCTTCCCCTCTCCCTCCCTCCCCGCATACAGTCTTCTAATTGTTACGATGAAAATACGACGCGAACGCGCGACGACTGCAATTAAACTGTAAAAGTCTAACGGTAACTGCCATCTTACTCTATTATGAAGCGACCAACGCGACCGCGAAGAAACTTACGATCGATCGAGACCGCCCCGCGAATCGTTCTCCGACAATTGCACGTGTCTCTCTCTCCCTCTTGGCGCGAGACACCTGCACATGCATATCGAAGCGAGCAATATGCGAACCTCCGAAAATGTTCCCCTTGTCTTCCAGTCATTCTCATCGATCGAGCATTCATCGCGCTATAATCGAAACGCTACCATCTTCCGCTTCTCCACAAAGAACGTTATACCGTCTAAGTAAAGAGAAAGTATAACGTGACCATTCGTCGTTGCCGTCAGTGTCGTTTTAACTTATTCTCGAGAGACTGAAAGAAGCATCGTAGATTTAGGTTTACACTCGACGTCTGTCGCAAGGCAAGCTCATATATATATAAGTCTCTGCGGTTCGTGCGAGAAAATTTAACGATGCCAGTGAAGAAAGAACACCGTCGAACACACAGAGTGCCGCGAAAGGAACGTCGAATGCGAGCGGATGCCGAGCGTAAACCTAGTTTTAGTAGACGAATTACCACGTAGCGTAAACGTAACGGCCGAACGTAATGTCTGTAAACTGTCTATTACTACTGTACCCGTTGTACACCTCGCTCATCACAAACTGCCGCGTACATCACCCGCCATCCGAGACCCAGCCCCTCTTCCCGACGGATGAAAGAAGATAGAGAGTAGGAGGAGATAGAAGAAAACGTAAAGGTGATGCCAGTCTGCGTTGATTAACGATCGACGGACCCCGAAGATGATGGCGGTGATGATGATGACCTGAGAAATTATTGAGATACACGAGAACAGTACTGTTTCGCGAATGTCATCGCAACCTTGATACCACGTGTTGCCATCGTGCCGAAACGTCACTCGTTGGCTGGTTGGGTTACCGTTCACACTCGGTCGGGTGACGATGATTTTTCGGTCGGCCAGTTTAAATTCCCCCATGTCCCCTGTCTCGCCCCCCCTCCCCATGTGCCCCGCCCCCTGTTATTTCAGCCCTCGAGTCATTCGCGCGAGGTGGAGGAAAGCGAAAAAGGAGTCGCCCTGTTGATATATCGTCTATCTTTACGACACACGAAATGATTTACCACGAAATTCGTACTATTGTGTTTTAGACGACTTTAGATTGTTTATATTCTATTTACTTTGTAAAATATACAACACTAATTCCATATTGGAAACGTGCCTGTGTGTTTCTTTACCCGTCCGCCCATCTCCTGTCCGCTAAAACCTATAATGGGAAATCTGTTTTGCAGAAATGAACAAGTTGACGCAAGAGGTGCAATACAACTTTTATGAGACAGTGTGGAAAGAACTTTTTTTTCCTCCACAAAAAATATTGATTTTATTGTTGTTCTCTCTCCGCGATGCTGATTGGAGTTTTTGCTATATGTTGTGCTTATTTCGTACTATTATCACGCAAATTAGATATTTTAATAGCTTAAATGTTAACAGGATTAATTTTATTTATTACGCTTGAAGTTATGATTTATTTCACCTTGCTCCTGATTATTCCTAATTATATTGCAATACTTTGTCAATTTTCCAGACTTTTGATTTTCACGAAAGCCGGATTTGAAAGCCCGAATTCTTAGAAATTCGAGGAATTCTTGGAAATGTAAAATATTCTTGACAATTGAGAAACTTCTTGGAAACTGACAAAATTCTTTATGTTGATAAAGTTCTTAAATTTGACAAATTCTTTATGTTGATAAAATTCTTAAATTTGATAAATTCTTTATGTTGATAAAATTATTAAATTTTCGGCAACTGATTAATCGCATTGGTCAATTGCCGAATTGCTTAAATAAAATTGGTCAATTCTTTTTCTCCATTCAAGATCTCGAAGCGATTTCTAATATCTATCGTTCGAGCACAAAGCTTCGGAACGCTTCGTTTGTTTTTCTGCCCTCCTGCTCACCTTCTTATAAGCACAAGGCCATGTACGCAAATTTGTATATAAGAGAACGCTTAGCAATTTGACTGCCTGTTCTTTGTCTGTACGTACCGGTTGTGGATTGACTCGCAGTTCTAACGGTCCTAAAACAATTTTGACTTGTGTAGCTTCAGTTGCTGAGAAATTCAGGAAACATGTATCGGCTCTTCGTGACGGTAATCACGGTAATCAAATTCGCGTCAATCAACGCGGAGTTGCATAGGTGAGTACATGTTATATACAAACGATCCACATTTATATCGACACGACGAATTATAATACCGTACACAGATCGCGCTTCCAACTACTTGGAATCGCCGCAAAATTCGCGATAAATATTTATCAAATCAATTTCAAATACCATATAATTGTATCAAATCTGTAAGAAAAACGCATTTTGAAAGTCGGAATAAAGTGAGCAAACTAACAAGAGATGCTTTAAGGATTCCTTCGAAAATCTTATTTTAAATGAAATTAGCATCATGAAAAGAGGAATTTGCATTTAAGATACCTAACTACATTTTAATGCGCAAATATATGCAGGTAGCATTTATTTTTCGATGCCAAAATGTTGAGGCGTTAATAGTTTTTAAATAAGAATTGCTTGAAAATGATCAAATAAATTGTTTGAAATTCGTATTATGTTGTACGATATATGTACATACATTCGCGTTTATACGATACGCGTATAATATAACGTAATTTTTTTTATGTTGCTTCAAGGATTCCGTTATACAAGACATTTTCCGATGAAAAATTTTTGACGAAAACTATGGCACGACTCCGTTTGGGTACGGCAAACGTACCTCTGATTAATAATGACAATTTAGAATATTATGGTAATATCGAAATTGGAACTCCACCGCAGACATTTAAAATAGTTTTCGACACTGGTTCCTCGGATCTCTGGGTACCGTCCAAAGATTGCGACGTTAACCAATCTCCTTGCTGTAAATATATCATAACATCGCTATCTCCCCGACATTCTATTATATCTATATGTACATTTATATTAAAAAAATTAATATTTCAAGCATTAAAATAAATCTTAATAATTTTTTTCTCGTTTAATAATTGATATAAAGTAAAAATATAGATAAGAATAATGCTGTAGAATTGTATCTATTCCATTTACATTTTAAGTAAAGTTATACAATCTTTAAAGCAACAGTTTCAAAGATTCGAATCAGTGGTAAAGTAAATATTATGTAGCTAATTTCCTTACTTACATACTTTCTTATTTACATTATTTATCACACTTACTTTAAAGATACAAATAATTTTATATACGAAACAGCTCACATGTTGAACCAAAAAATATAAACATAAATATATTTGATAATTTAACTAAATATATTTGATGATTTAACTACTGTTAGTTATATATTTAGATTAATATAGAGAAATTTATATTTCTAGATTTTTCAATATTAACTGATTTAATTTTATTTACTTCTTTTTTCAGCGAAACATAATAAATATGATAATACACAGTCCACCACATACGTGCCAGAAGGAGTTACGTTTAATGTTTCTTACCACGATGGTATTTGGCAAAATGTCACACTGTACGGGAACTTATCTAATGATAACGTAATCGTAAGTTATCGTCAAGTAAATGATATATTTAATTGTAATCACAGTCATAATCTATGAAAATTTTCTAAAAAGCACATGTTGCTATTATTGTCCGAAACAAAAAATGCGCGCAATTATACTTTATTAATAATATCAACGTTTCGTAGATTGGTGGCCTTGGGGTTACATCACAGATATTCGGAGAAGTGTTTAATTTCTCGGAAGATTCTTTGCCCTGGGCAAAATGCGACGGCGTTCTGGGGATGGGCTATCGCGCCTTATCTGCTTTTAAACAGGATTCTGTCTTCCAAAACATGATTGATCAACACTTGGTGTACCGACCAATTTTTAGCTTCTATCTAAATCGGTATGTATCTTTCCGTATGCCTCACGTGTGTTTAACACTATTTTTTTAATTACATACTTTGTCTTTCTATGCAATGTAAAATGCAAATGTATATGTATATAAACAATATAAAAAATATACAACCTATACAGAAATGTCACGGACGTGTTCGGCGGTGAACTGATATTGGGTGGCATCGATTCTTCCCATTACGAGGGCGAGTTTACGTATGTTAATGTTACTAAAAAAAAATACTGGCAAATTACCATGGATAAGTATGTAGTTTTTTTTCTAAATTATACGTATGTCAACCACGAATTATATGTCAGCTAATTGGTAATGTTATCCCACTGTAGGATTCAAGTAAAAAATTACACCTCTTGCTCGGAAGGCTGTCAAGCTATTGTTGACACGGGTGATTCTTTGATATGTGGACCACCGCAGACTATCGAAGCTCTTAACAGAGAGATCGGTGTTAATGATACTGGACTAGTAAATAATAGATCTTTTTCGTTAATGGAAGCTTTCACAATTATCTTAAATAAATTATTGAAAGAAATTAATAAATGTTTGATAAGTTACGGGTTATTAATATGGATTACTAACATTGACCTTCGTTTAAAGGTGAACTGCGACGAGATTTCTAATTTGCCCGATATCAATTTCGTCATAGGTGGTAAGACGTTTCCACTCACTGGTCAAGATTATATCTTGAAGGTAAAGAATATTATTATATAAAGATTTAAATTGTTTCTAGAATAGAAATATCATGCCATATTTAATGCCTTATATTATTGCCTTATATTAATGCTTTATATATTAATGCCTTATATAGATCACACTAGAAGACGAAATAGATTTTTGCATTTCCGCCTTACAGGAGATTGATTCGTTTAATGGTGTAGAGTGGATTTTGGGCGATCTATTTATTGGTCGGTACTACACCGTATTTGACATGGAGAACGACCGAGTGGGATTCGCCATTGCAAAAAATTAAATCTTGATTGCCTTTTCATAAAGTTATCATTAAATATTAGGGAATCTAAGTGACATTACTAAACAAATAAGCTATAGTTTTTTTTAAATATCGACTGACATATGGTCTGTAATTTTATTTGGACTATTTATATGGTATATTTTTAAATTAATACGTATGTAAGAATTAGAAGAAAGACATGCGATATTTATTTTGCCAACGATTTGGTACATCTTGTTCTTTCGGCAACTATCGAATTGTTAGATATTGTGAACACAACTTGTATATAAGTCTATTAAAATGAAGTATTTTTTACACTGAATATTGATTTCATATATCGCTCTTCCAATCTCATCTTAATGTAGTACCCCGAAAAATATTATCTCGTTTAATCTTATAAATTTTCTGCTTACATACGAGTACAAGATATCATATAACATTCTGCTTATATGTATAAGAGTATGACATACCGCATTTGAAACCAATATATAACTTTTTACATTTCTTATGCTTACACAAACGTATATACGCATAAATCTTTTGCTTATTAATAAACATTATCTAAAATTTTCGACACATAGATACCAAATTCTCGATACGAAAATTATTATGTTGTATATATATTTTTTCTAATGAATAAAGTGTCATATAATATTGCAAAACTGGTTTAGGTATCTCACTATCGTTAATATTATAAACTTATATTTTGAAATTGTTATTTTTAGAAACTTGCATATTGTATTAACTACTGCTAGTTTTAAATAAAATATGATACACATAGAAAGATTATCGAGTAATTTTGATACATGATGTGTAACAACGATAAAATTTTCTTGCAATACACGTTTGCAAAAATTTTATATAATTACACAAGCCGACGTCTCTACAATATTAAGAGAAAATATAATATATAAATAATAGTAGCTATAAACATCTTGCGTTATGTAATGTATGCAACATTGTATTATATTTTTGCAAGAGATCTAAAAGAAATGCTTCAAGTAAATCCTACGTAAAATTGATTTTTTAATTCCAAGCTAACATTTTCAAAATTTCATCGTTTATTCCAGCTTTTTGTTTTTTATACTCTTTTTTATTATTCAAAAATCTGACGAGATCGACCAACTACTGTTTCCAATATGAAGACTATAGTGACGCAAGTGTATCGAGATTAAATTAATGAAAAGAGCTATTGGGCTATTAGAGGCGTTAGAACTTCTCAAACTCTTTGTTCGCTTTATCACCTTTCTTCTCACCTTCTTATAATAAACACAAGAACGTACATGAGCCGTTATTGATATACGCAACGATGAGAACGCTGAGTTTAATTACGTTTTTTGTCTGTACCGGTTGTGGACTGATTTGAAGTAATAACACCCCTAAAACATTTTTGATTTTTATAGCTTTATTCGCCGAGACATTCAGGAAACATGTATCGCTCTGTGTGCCAATTGCAGTAATCAGCTTCGCGTTAATCAACATAGCATTGTATAGGTGAGTACGCTCCACATTTATATCGACACGATAAATTCCATACAGAGATCGCGCTTTTTGGAATCACAGCAGAATTCGCAATATATACTTTAATAAATACGATAATTGTACTAAATCTGTGAGAAAAACGCATTTTGAAAGTCGGAGTAAAGTGAGCAGACTAATTATTAAAGATGCTTTGAAGATCCCTTCGAAGATCTTAAATGATATTAACGTTATAAAAAGAGGAATTCGCATTTAAAATACCTAACTATAACATTCTAATGCGTAAATATATGCAGATAGCACTTATTTCTTAATACCAAAATTTTGTGGCTTTAATAGTTGTCAAATAAAAAGTGCTTCCAAATGACCAATTAAAATATCCGAAACTTATATTTATTTTGAATGATATTTGTACATTCACGTTTATATGCGTATAAATAATGAAATTTTTCTTATGTTTTTTCAAGAATTCCGTTATACAGGACATACACCGTTGGAAAATCTTCGACGGACAATAATATGATACAGCTCCGTTTGGCTACGGTTACTCTGACTAATTATAAGAATGTTCAATACTATGGTATTATCAAAATTGGAACTCCACCGCAGACATTTAAAATAGTTTTCGACACTGGTTCCTCAGATCTCTGGGTATCATCCAAAAACTGCAACGTCAGCCAACCTGCTTGCTGTGAGTATATCATAACATCGCTACCTCTCCGATATTCTATTATTTTTATATGTATGTACATTTGTATTAAAAAAATTAATGTTTCAAGTATTAAAATAATTTTAATTATTTTTTTCTCGTTTAATGATTGATATCAAGTAAAAATATAAGATAAGAATAATGCTGTAGAATTGTATCTGTTCCATTTACATTTCAAGTAAAGTTATAAAATCTTTAAAGCAACAGTTTCAAAAATTCGAATCAAACGTAAATATGATAAGGTAAATATTATGTAGCTAAGTTCCATACTTACATACTCTCTTATTTACATTATTTAGCACACTTACTTTAAAGACACAAATAATTTTTTATACAAAACAGCTCACATGTTAAAGCAAAAAATATAAACATAAATATATTTGATGATTTAACTACTCTCAGTTATATATTTAGATTAATATAGAGAAATTTATAGTTCTAGATTCTTCAATATTAACTGATTTAATTTTATTTATTACTTTTTGCAGTAAAACATAATAAATATGATAATACAAAGTCCACTACATATATACCACAGAATGATCCATTTGTTATTGATTACGCGGATGGCGATGTGTCTGGGTTCTTATCTACTGATGACGTAATCGTAAGTCATAGTCAAGTAAATGATATATTTAATTATAATCACAGTCATAATCTATGAAAATTTTCTAAAAAACACATGTTGCTATCATTCTCCGAAACAAATGCGCGCAATTATACTTTATTAATAATATATCAACGTTTCGCAGATTGCTGGCCTTAAGGTTTCAAACCAAACATTCGGAGAAGCGCTCGATTTCGCGACAAGTTTTTGGGACTCTGCACAATGTGACGGCGTTCTGGGGATGGGTTATCCAGCCATATCTATCTTTAAAAAGCCTACTGTTTTCCAAAACATGATTGATAAACACGTGGTGTCCCGACCAATTTTTAGCTTCTATCTAAATCGGTATGTAACTTTCCGTATGCCTCACATGTGTTTAATACTATTTTTTTAATTACATACTTTGTCTTTTCATGCAATGTAAAATGCAAATGTATAAACAATGTAAAAAATATACAACCTACATATACAGAAATGTCACGGACGTGTTTGGTGGTGAACTGATATTGGGTGGCACCGATTCTTCCCATTACGAGGGCGAGTTTACGTATGTTAATGTTACTCACAAAGCATACTGGCAATTTGAAATAGATATGTATGTAGTTTCTTTTCTAAATTATACGTATGTCGACCACGGATCATACGCCAGCTAATTGGTAATGCTATCCCACTGTAGGATTCAAGTAAAAAATTACATCTCTTGCTGGGAAGACTGTCAAGCTGTCGTCGACACGGGCGCTTCTGTGATAGGTGGACCACCGAAGACTATCGCAGCTCTTTACAGAGAGATCGGTGTTGTTAATCATACGGTAATTGATTATCTCTTTCTGCAATGGTAGCTTTCAACTAAATAAATTATTGAAATAAATTAATAAATGTTTGATAAGTTCGGATTATTAATATATGGATTACTAACATTGACCTTTGTTTAAAGGTGAAGTGCGACGAGATTTCTAATTTGCCCGATATCAATTTCGCCATAGGTGGTAAGACGTTACGACTCACTGGTCAAGATTATATCTTGAAGGTAAAGAATATTATTATATAAAGGTTTAAATTGTTTTTAGAATATAAATATCATGCCATATTTAATGTCTTATAGATGACAGAAGGCGAAATAGATGTTTGCATTCCCGCCTTCGAAGGAGTTAAATCGCATGATGAATTAGAGTGGATTTTGGGCTATCCATTTCTTGGTCGATACTACACCAAGTTTGACATGGGGAACAACCAAGTGAGATTCGCCACTTTAAAATAAATCTTGATTGCCTTCTCATGAAGTTATCATTACATATTAGGAAATCTAAGTGACATTACTAAACAAATAAGTCATAGCTTCTTTAGAATATCGACTGACATATGGTCTGTACTTTTATTTGGACTATTTATATGGTATATTTTTAAATTAATACGTATGTGAGAATAGATGAAAGATATATGCGATATTTATTCTACCAACGATATGGTACATCTTGTTCTTTCGGCAACTATCGAATTGTTAGATATTGTGAATACAACTTGTAAGTCTATTAAAATGAAGTATATATTTTTAACACTGAATATTGATTTCATATATCGCCCTTTCAATTTCATCTTAATGTAGCGTATCCCGAAAAATATTATCTCGTTTAATCTTATAAATTTTCTGCTTACATACGAGTACAAGATATCATATAACATTCTGCTTATATGTATAAGAGTATGACATACCGCATTTGTAATCACATTATAATTTTTTACATTTCTTATGCTTACACAAATGTATATTGTACGCATAAATCTTTTGCTTATTAATAAACATTATCTAAAATTTTCGACACATAGATACCAAATTGTCGATACAAAAATTATCATGTCGTATGTATTCTAATTAATAAATTGTTATAATATTGCAAAACTGGCTTAGGTATCTCACTATCGTTAATATTATGAACTTATATTTTGAAATTGTTATTTTTAGAAACTTGCATATTGTATTAACTACTGCTAGTGTTAAATAAAATATGATACACAAAGAAAGATTATCGAGTAATTTTGATACATGATGTGTAACAACAATAAAATTTTTTCTTGCAATAAACGTTTGCAAAAATTTTATATAATTACGAGCCAATGTCTCCGCAATATTAAAGAAAAATATAAGAAAAGATAAGAAAAAATATAAGACTATATAAATAATAGTAGCTAAACATCTTGTATTATACAATTTATGCAACAATTTATTGTATTTTTCGAGAGATCTGTAGAAGAAAGGTTTCGAGCAAATCCTACGTAAAATTGATTTCTTAATTCCAAGCTAACATTTTTGAAATTTTATCTATCTCAAAATCTTATTCTAGCTTTTTGTTTTTTATACTCTTTTTGATAGTTCTAAAATCTGACGAGACCGACCAACTACTATTTCCAATATGACGACTATAGTGGTGCAAGTGTATCCAGATTAAATTAGTAAAAAGAGCTATTGGACTGTTAGAAGCTTAATGTTTATATAACTTTTAAAACTCTTTATCTGCTTTACCGTTCTCCTTTTCACCTTCTTATAAAAACAAGAACGTAAACACGTACTTGTATATAAGCAGCGTTCGGAACGATAGTGATCGACTACACACTCTCTCTCTCTCTCTCTCTTTCTTTCTCTATTGCGCGTATCGGTTGTGGGGTCAATCGATAGGAAATGACAATAAAATCTTCTTAACTTTTGTAACTTTAATCGTCAAGAAATTCAAAAAATATATGTATCGACTATTCGTGGCAATCGTGGTACTCAACTTCGTATTAATCAATGCGAAGTTACATAGGTGAGTATACATATTATGTACAAACATTGCACATTTATATCGACGTCCGCGTGATAAATACTTTATAGAGATCGCGCTTCCAACTTCTTGAAATCGACGCAGAATTCGCGATAAATACTTCAATAAATACGATAATTGTACACCAAATATGTAGGAAAAACGCATTTTCAAAGTTACAATAAAGTGAGCAGACTAATAAGAGATGCTTTAAGGATCTCTTTGAAGCTCTTATCTTAAGTGAAATCAGCGTTATGTACAGAGCAATTTGCATTTAAAGTATTTAAATTACATTCTAATGCGTAAATATATAAATGCAGGTAACATTTAATTCTTAATACCAAAATGTAGCTTTAATAGTTTTTAAATAAGAAGTGCTTGAAAATAATCAAATAAATTATCCGCAATTCGTAATTATGTTGTATGATATATTTCTACATTCTTGTTTATATGATATATACATATATGCGTATAACATAATGAAATGTTCTTTATGTTGTTTCAAGAATTTCGTTATACAGGACATATACCGTTGGAAAATTTTCGACGGACAATAATATGATACAGCTCCGTTTGGCTACAGTTACTATACCTCTGACTATTTATAAGAATGTTCAATACTATGGTATTATCAAAATTGGAACTCCACCGCAGATGTTTAAAATACTTTATGCAACACGTGCATGGAAAGTGCCCCATTACGCACGCTACGGCGTGCGTGATAGACCACTTTCCAGGCACTTGCAACATAAAATAGGGAGTGTAAGTCGTGTGTAATTCCCGGGTGCGGTTACCGCGGTAAACTCCGCACCCGGGAATTTTCATCTTACGACACTTGTTACACAAATAACTATTTCGACACTGGTTCCTCAGATCTCTGGGTGCCATCCAAAGACTGCATCCGGCTTAGCCAACCTGCTTGCTGTAAGTATATCATAATATCGCCATCTCTTCGATATTCTATTATTTATACATGTACATTTGTATTAAAAAATATTATTGTTTCAAGTATTAAAATAATCTTAATTATTTTTTTCTCGTTTAATGATTGATATCAAGTAAAAATATAAGAATAATGTTGTTGATTTGTGTCTTTTCCATTTACATTTTAAGTAAAGTTATAAAATCTTTAATACAACTGTTTCAAAAGTGAAACGTGGTAAAGTAAATATTGTGTAGCTAAGGTCCGCAATTATTTACTCTCTTACTTATATTATTTATCATTTACTTTATAAATACAAATAATTTTTTATACAAAACAGCTCACGTGCTAAACCAAAAGATATAAACGTAAATACATTTGATGATTTAAACTACTGTTAGTTTTATACTAGATTAATAAAGGGAAATTTTTATATTTCTAGTTTTTTCAATATTAACTGATTTAATTATATTTATTACTTTTTGTGTAGTGAAACATAATAAGTATGATCATACAAAGTCCACCACATATATATCACAGAATGATCCGTTTCCGCGAGGCTCGCGTTTTCCACTGCTTCTAACTGCGAGTACTTTCGTCCTACCGTCGGTTTGTTTGTTTTTCCACAAACATAATTTTGTTCGATGCACGTATATACGTGTATGCGATACACGCTTTCCTTGTTTGCAGTCTTGTCTGCACGAACCGCCTGTTATGCATCGCGCAATTTAAATCCACGACGAAGTGCCTGCCGCGTGAGATCGCAAGAGCACTTATTGCGATTATACTATATATATATATATATATATATATATATATATATATATATATATGGGACAATTCACGTCACTTTTACTCCCTATCTGTCCAAAATTGGTATGGACGGATTTTAATGACTAAGGGC